CGTAGAATCCACGTCTCTGACAGAGCAAATTGGCTCACGGTATATTTTGTAGATTTGAAATCGAAATCTTCTAGAGCATATTTGTGGAATCTTGAATTATCGGTAACGATAGTCGGCATGGACAGTAAAAAGATTCCTATTAGGGTAGTTGTTTTTGGTCATGCTGATAGTGGCAAATCCACAGTCATTGGACATTTGCTCTTTAAGTGCGGCATTATAGACAAGCGAGCATTTAAGAAATTCGAGAAAGAAACTATGGAGGTGAGTTCTTTCCTTGGTTTACTCTCCAACTAAAACTCTTCGATTGTTGATGATTCACAGATGGGCAAAGCTTTTTTCAAATATGCTTGGATACTAAACAAGTTGCAAAGTGAACGTGAACGTGGCGTCACCATCGATGTCGCATTATGCACATTTGAGACCAATAAATACTCGATTACTATCGTCGATGCTCCGAGTTATCGTGATTTCATCACAAATATGATCAACAATATTTCAAAAGTATGCAAAGTCTTGCTATTATTGTGAAGATTTGTGCATGAGCAATGAGAATATTATATTTTTACTGCTATTGGTTTTAGACACTTTCTATTCTTTAGGCTGATTGTGCCTTGCTAGTGGTTGCTGCTGGCCTCGGCGAATTTGAAGCCGGCATTTCAAAGTATGGTCAAACTCGCGAACATGCGCTACTTGGTTATCTTTTGGGTGTCAAGCAAATCATTATTGGCATCAACAAAATGGATACAACTCAGCCACCCTACTCGGAAGATCGTTTTAACGAAATTCAGGCTGAAGTTCTCAAATACATACAGAAAATAGGCCACCAGCCACACGCTATCACCGTCGTTCCCATATCTGGCTACCATGGTGATAACCTTGTTCAAGTATCGGATAAGATGCCTTGGTTCCAGGGCTGGAATGTTCAACGCAACTCTGTAAACATCACAGTCACCACCCTTTTAGAGGCTTTAGATTCGCTCATTCCTACAATGGAGTTCATGATGAGACCGTTGCGTTTTACTCTGTGTAGCAAGGGTAAAACGAATGAAGATAAAACAATCCTCATGGGCCAAGTAGAATCAGGTGTACTTAAGACGTATACGACTGTCCATTTTGCTCCATTAAATATCACAGCTGAAGTCGAATCGATTGAAATGAACTACAAAGTTGTCAAGGGTATAAATTCGATTTCGTTATTTTACTCTACGATGTTCTGCGTTTTTTAGAAGTGATGCCTGGTGATTATGTAAAAGTCTATGTGAAAAGCATTCATGCGAGAGAACTACGACCAGGATTAATTGGCTCGGATACAACAAATGATCCAGCTCAGGAAGTCCTGAGTTTTATTGCCCGAGTAAGAACCTTGAACCTTTTAATTCGATTCGAGCAAGCAAAATAGCAACTCTTTTTTCTCAGATTGTTCTAACCAATTGTTTATGTCAGATCCACGCGGGATACATAGCAGTGATTCAATGTCATGGGTCTAGTGTTGCTTGCAACTTCATCGAACTACTCAAGAAGATTGATCGTTTATCAGGTCAAACCATTGAAGAAGCCCCACACTGTCTTAAATCTGGTGAAACTGCTTTAGTCAAGTTGGTCCCACAACAACCTTTGTGTATTGAGCGACTCGTTGAGTATCGAACATTAGGTCAGTTCCTTGTTCGAGACATGAAGCAGACAGTGGCTTTTGGTGTTGTTATGGATGTCGAGAAGGTAATCTCAGTAAAACGATCGGTTAATACTCCACACAAACATTAAACGTAGTTGGAGCAACACATTTTCGAACACTATTTCCGTATGTTGGCCTCGATTTCATGGGCTATCTTATGGTTTTTTTATTGCTGTTTTTTTTATTTCAGCAAAAGAAAATTTTTTTGAAGCATTCATCTTCTCTCTTTCAACTGTCGACATATCGCTGCGATAAATATCATATCATGAAACCGGACGAAAACGATAACTAAAGGTTAAAGAGGCAATGAGAAACTCATTCCGTCATTTTAGTATCTTTTATTTTCTGTAGAATAAGAGCTAGGGTGTGGGTGTGGGGGTAGGGGTCTGTGTGAATGTGGGGTGTGGGTGGGTGTGGGTGTGGCTGAGCGTTATTTACAGTAACACCCACACCCCACCCACCCACCCATACCCACACCCACACCCACACCCAATGAATTGACTCATACCACAGGATTAATTAGTGTTGCTCAACGTATTATCATTCAATAATTTATCAAGTAAATGTAGAGGAACGTTAAAGTATAGGTTTGAGAACATGCGTATGAATGTCTAGTCAAAAGCGTATGCTTAAAAGGTAGTCATAACGATATAGGTTTAAAGGTACACTGACAACGATATAGATATGAGTCTCTAGTCATCAGTGCACAGTTGTTTAGCTAAACAGGTAAGACTTTACGTATTGTTAATTTATAGCTCATTATGATCCAACACAATTAATCGCTTCGATTCCGCAATGGTAAAAATTTGTGTATATTTCTCTCTCTTTCGATAATATTACCATGTTAAGGTCTACCGGATGTCTATTAAATTCATTAGTAATCTTTCAAATAGTATTTTTCAAATAATAATTACGAAATAAAAGATATCAGTAATCACTGTCTTAAGTATTCAATGAAGCAAGAACGCAGTTTAATAATCATTTTTTGAAAGCTCATAATAAAGCAAATCAGTGGATTGATTAGACTAATACTGTTGGAGGCAGTGATCACATTATACATAGCTAATAATCATCGATCTTTATCATAGATTCAACGTGTATTCACCAATTTGAGTATATTTTTCGGATGTGCGTATGAATTTGAAGTATTATACTTACACTCATACTTGTTTCGCTCAGTCCTGTGATATATTTTATTTCGAATGAAAGATTTTATAAATCAAAAGAAAAGACCAATTATTATTTATAGATTAGATCACTTTTACTTTTACCATCTATACATTATCTCTCTCTTCAATATTTCATGTATACCAATGTTGATATCATACAATATAGATAATGCCTTATTTTATTTTGATAATTGTTCAACTTCCAAAAAAAAGTGGTGACGAATTTCTATTTAATTTCTTTTTTTTTTTGTTAATATTACTATTTTTCTTGTTCATTGTGTTTTTTATTCACTCATATTTATCTATTCAATAAATAAGTGATCGTGTTATCTGCTACTGCTATGCATTTAAATAATTGATTTTCATTACGTAAACATTCATCTATTGTTATTAAATTATTTGACATAATATCTATCTGAAAGAATATCTTGATCTATATATATAAGTAAATAAGATCTAATAAGAGAAAAACGATCATAGACGTAGACAAGCGAAAGACGATCTTAGTTCTCTACAAATACAGCTCATCTTTTGAAAGAGTAGTCTTTCTTGAATTTCTAACAAACACTATGACATAAATAATGATTAGCTCATGCAACTTCGAGATACAATTACAATGTACTCAGATGTCATTTTTACTTTGATACTCAAAATTGTCTTTATTGATCATCTGATATAGGCTAAAGTCTAGTGGAAATCTGTCAGATAACCAGAAACAAAAAACAAAATGCATAAAATTAAATGAAAGTAGTATGAGAATTAGACCTTAATGAGATATGAAAAAGAACTCATTTCCTCAAATGTTTTCTTTTTTCAAGATATTGAATTTCTAAAGAATTATGCGATAGAACCTAAGATATTTAGTAAAGAGTCTATTTTTCAATTTTCATTTTAAACTATGTCAACATCGATGTTTCAACTAGATACAATACTTCAGTATTTTCGAATACAGTTTTTAATAGATATAAATTTGTCAAATATAACAGTTCTCCTTGGATATTATCGACAACATGACGATATTGAAACGTATATATCCACCAGAGATGCCCGTCACGATTGAAAATGGGCCGCTGCCTCAAAATGAAGAAAAGCTACCGGGTCGCTGTCGTGATAATTTTCGAAATACTGTGTTGATTTTTACTGCTGCGACTGTATTTAACCAGAAATATTGGTATGTATCTATTAAATTCGTTCAATCTCAAGCTATCTCGTTTGAAAAACATAGAAATTCTTTAAATTTGGGTGTGAATGGGTGTCGGTTGAGTGTTCGTCGGTGTAAGAAAGAACTACACCCACACCTTAGGAGAAAAGCATCAATAAAATAAAGGTTGGAAAGAATTTCCTGAAATATCAATTCTTTATCATAAAATAACCTGAATGCATGGATTCTGATGACGTTCTTAATGAGGAAACAAACTCTAAAGGTTAATGTATTATGTCATGGAGTAGAAGACGGCTAAAAATTTATATAAGGAGATGTTTGTTAACTGCTTAGATTTTGAAAAATTTTGATTAGTACCATTCAGTAAATTCTTTATATCTTTTGAAGGGAAACAGCTATCGATCTCGGCTTTGCGTTGATCGACAGAGACAGAGATAGGCTATCTGCCAATTATATTACAATTTAGAAAGCATACTGTTTTCAAAGCAGATTAAGGTCATCTTGAAAACAGATGCAATATCGAACTGTCTGTCAACATCAAACCCGACGTAAACGAAATATTCTTTTATATTTATATATATGGGGGTGGCCAACTTGACTGATACCCCGTTTTGATTCAGCCCTATTTTAAGGATAAAACCTATTATTGTCCGGGCCATATAAGACAGGATCCTATATAACCCTGGATTGGCCCGAACAACAACATGTTTTATCCTTACAATAGTGAAGAACAGCTACCAGCTTGTCGTGTGATCTGCTAGCTTTTCTCTACTATTATAAGCATAAAACATGTTGTCGTTCGGGCCAATCCAGGGTTATATAGGATCCTCTCTTATATGGCCAGGACAATAATAGGTTTTATCCTTAAAATAGGGCTGATTCAAAACGGGGTATCAGTCAAGTTGGCCACCCCCATATATATATAAAGTTGTTCGAAAAAGTTTTTTGAATTGTATCAATTATTCCGTGTTGAATAATTGTGTTGATATTGTATTGATCAAAACCCAACTTTTTGTAACAAATAACTGTAGTCTTGTGTACCTTCTTTAAGTAATAATTTTGATGCCGCAGATAAGGATAATTTTTCAAGAGGAATATTTTTTAATGTAATTACTGTTGTATGATGTTCATCAGAATTAATTTGAATATTTTCTACATGAAACGTTGTAAACGGTACAATTAATATTTCTTGTTCATCTTCGTATTCGGATGCACATGGAAGATTGTACTTAGGCATTTTACCTAAATATAGTGCTTGATCGCATGCTCGAGGAAAATTAAATATCATTAATGTACGTATTTTATTAGGTGATGTTGTTGACTGTGATTCAGCAAACTCTTCAGCAATAGATCGATCCAATGATGTTGATGAAAGTGTTAGTGTTTCAATAATGCTTTCGGGATTATTCCAAGCCAATCGATAACATTCTAAATCATCATTAGTCATAGTTACACCACGATACGACACACCTTGAAAACGTCGATATTTTAAATTCTTTTCCAATATTAAAGGCCAAAAAAAAGGTAAAAAGTCATCTCGTAATTGATAGTAAAATGGTGTTTCTAGTGTGTAAAGTTTTAATAAATCATCTATGTTTTCATACTGAGCATAGTTTGATAGAAGTTGAGAACACTTTTTATAATCCAAATGTATTGGCGTCACTTTTTCATCGATTAATTTTTGTATTGCTTGTATTCTAAATGCTTTGTCTGTTATATATTTATTGAGTCTGTCATCATCGAAACCTTGATATTTTAATACTTTTCGAATAATATAGCGTCCAAATCGTGTTTGAAGAAGCTTTTGACTTTGACTAAGCTCAATCCTTTCTTTGTCAATTTCCTCCTTTGTTACAAAACGTTGAATATATTTATTAATTTTTTCACTGTTTTCATAGTTATCGGCAAGGATCTCGTTAGATGAAGAAACAATCGCGAATGCATTTCTGAAAGTATTGTGTTCATCATGAAACCGATTCATATGTGATGCACGATAAAATAACCGTCGAATTTCTTGTGTTGTTGCTTCCTCATAAGCAGTCAAACCATAAGAATTAAGTCGATGGCGTTCACAACCATACTCCAGTAAAAGAAGGCGAACGATATCTGTATGCCCATAGAATGAAGCTGCATGCAGACCTGTACTTCCATTAGGTTCTAATTGATTTATTTGTTCGTATGGTGTAGTTGATAAAATTTGTTTAACAGTTTCAATATCACCATTTCTACATGCAATGTAAAACTGACTTACTTGATTTTTTTGGGATTGACGAAGAATTTTTTTATTGTGTCTGATATGAATATTGTTTTGGTTACCCATTTCTTAAGAGTGAGGATGGAGTATTTGCCAATATCACGTTGTAAAAGTTTATGATGACTTACGTATCTAAAAATATGCATTAAATCATTCCCTCATTGGTAAATAACATATTCAAGTCAGACGCTGATGTGTTTACGGATGACCAATTTTAAACACTGACGTGTCTAGTTTTTCTTGGTTAACTGATTGGAGCCATTCAATGGTGTCTCGAGAATCTGTCCTTTTTAGACACTTTCAGCACATTGTTCGACGCTCGAATGAATATTTCAAATGATAATTCACTTTTCACATGAAAATTGTTTCATCAAATACGATTTCAGCAAGCAAATATAGTATATCTAGAATATCACCATATGTCCTGTACAGTTGTCAATTCTACACTTGACTTTTCACCTGCGAGAAGAAATTATCTCAGGAATCGTATGAACAATTTTTTGTTCAGCATACTATTAAAGTTATTTATGTGGTGAAACTCAACTGAAAACTTATTCATGATTGTTGCACAATTGTCTTCTTCTTAATAAAAAAAAATCTTATAAAACACTGACTAAATGTAGAAGGTCGAACTATGGTCGATTTTTTAGCAATGCTATTCTACTTGAAGGGATTCTGTTTAATGAGACAACTCATGTGAAAAGTGAATCATGAATCGGAAATGTTCATGTGTGGGCATTTTAGAAGAGAGGATTCAAATTTTTTTTTCTGTATGAGAAGTGAAATCAGATAATAAAAATTTCTTGCTTCAGAAATTGAGCATTGCATAGATTTTATCTAGAAAAAGTACCAGTGAAATTAAAAAAGATATGCAAAACATATCAGTCACTTATACTATTTGTTCAAAAAGTGAATTACAAAAAGAACAGATGACAAAATATCTGCTTCATTTTAAAAAAATACAAGTTCCACAAAATGGCACAAAGGAAAATAATTCATATACAATATTAAAAAAAACAATCAAATCGTCCGATTATAAGGCCTATTTCTTGCCATAATGTTCACCCACTACCTGAAGAAGTTAGTGATGAAGTGAGTTGTTCATATTCAGATGTACAAAAATCAAACAAAGATAATTACCTTATGAAGTAGAGATGTGTAGGGCAAGCTTGTTTCATATCCTGTACCCTGACTGAGAAAGATCTTCTTATCCTTACGTTATCATACGAAGGTTTTTGATTCTTCAAAATTTAATCGAAAGTAAAAATGTCGAAATATACAAATATTGAAAATGATAGTGTATGGAAGGACAAATTCTTTCACTCTCACCCACATTCTTACACTCACATTTTCAACGCTCGTTTTTCTTTTCAACAGTTTTATTTCTCGATCAAAGTACCTTTTACCAATTTTCCAAGATAACCTTCTGTTTTTTGTACCTTGTTCTCCCGCTGAGAAAAATTCTCTAACTCTTACCCTGCTCTACTCTGCAAAACCTCTGAATGTCTCTACCCTACAAGATACGATAGAGTAACCCTGCATATCTCTATTATGAAGCTGACCACCATCCCTTGAAATAGACATTTTATAAGGTAGATTATCGACAATAATGGAAACTTTATTGAAATTCTTGTTTGCGGACGATGAAATCATTGCACATATTGCTGGTTATGAACCAGTTATGCCATACTAAAACAAGAGAAAGAAGAAGCAATCAATTACAATAAGAGGAAACAGATTATTTACCATTAAAAACAAAATATATCTGGTACTCCAACAAAGCTCACAGAGATGTTTCATTGCCAAGAAATCGACTTCACTTTCTTAAAGGAGAAGAATGATGACGACACAACAAGTATGAAAAAAGACACACATATGACTTTTTCGCTCCATTCAATAAATTTTGATCGATTCATCAAGCATACATCGTATTTGAGGTTACAGTTGCTTGACGATCATACCGAGTCTACATTTTAACAATATCTACTCATATTTAAGCTATTGTAAACAGAAAGAAACATTCAATAGATTTTTTTCCTACTCTGTTGAGCGAGAGGAAATTTTTATCACTACTATAAGAATTTGAGAAATTGTGAATAAATGGCAGCAAAAAAACTTTTAAAAAATTACAGTTTCTTCGTGAAGCCAGTATTTTCTTTAGCTAGAAATCGACATCGAATTAAATATGTACTGCGTGCTAGAACACTGGTGTCTACCACAGAGACAATGTTATTCAAACGCGCTTTTGGTTTGATCGCTGACTGAAGACGATTCATATCAATATCATAGAATAGTTGATCCGACTTCAATAATTTCAACTCTGTTTCTACTAGAGAAGTTTGTGATCGATTGAAGTCCATTTGATCTTTAATGCAAAATCCTCAAGGAAAAGAACATTTTTCTTTGAAATTATATTTAACTTGCTTTTCGAAGCATGAAGACATTTTGTAGCCATACGCTACTGGAGGTACGATTCTGGTAATTATATAAAATAACTGAGGTAAATATGACCCTACCAGAAGAAAGATTTACTATTCCTGGAAGAACTCAATATAACATATACTTTTAAAAGTATAACTTTCGAATCGTCTTGCTGATTGAAAAACGACTCCAATAATCTTAATTGTAACTTTACAGTTATTTCAAATACATGAATCAAATAAATCTTTTCTCTATATCATGTGTGTATGTCATTCCGATTTTTTGTTATGTAGGGGTGTGCTTTCTAACCAACTTCAGAAATTTAATAATATCATCAAATTTACTATTCTTCTTACCTTTTGGATTTATCGTGAATACAGATATTGTTTTCGTTTCTGGAATATCTTGATCATTGTCAACCACTTGTTCAAACGAAAGTTTTTTTCTTGTCATCAGTTGTTCTACTAGAAGAAATTACTAACTAGCCTATTCGAATGTCTTTGTGTGATTTATACAGTTCGTTGATAGCTGAGAAAATTTTTAATGTACTTTTACTGATATCTTTGTTGCTAAACTAAGTATTGAGTGTGTGAAACATAGCTATTTCGTTGTGTACATTAATAAGAATGTCATTAGTATTGCTCGGATTTCAAGAAAAAAATTGGATCAGATATAGGAAATGAAATTCCATAAGTACAGATTTTTTTAAACCGAACTTCGATTTGATACAGCATTTTGTTAACAAGAAATATTATAAAGACGTTCAGATATTATTTGAAGCGGAATCTGTTATAACGTACTTGGAATCTTGTCACATGAATTTTTCTTTCTGCTAGTGATGTGAATCGGGAGTACATTGCTTCCCAAGCTATACTAATCTTCCAAATAAATAAGAAGATTCAAACGAAGTAGACGGACTGTTGGTCAGTTAAACATAATTGAATCGTTATATTTCGTTAATCGAAGACACTCATGGCATCAACAAAAGGTAGCAGCTGTTGTCTCACCCATCACATACGACAAAAATACATCGACAAAATGACGATTCAAACATTGTTTTTATGACAGTAAATAAAAACAAAACTTGCACTGAACTACTAAATTGTAAGAAACATCATTATTCGGCAAAGTACACCAATATTATTAAAAGAAGAGGCGCACAAAGAAATAAAAAAAGTAGAAGACCAATCAAACAGCATGAGAACATATACCTAGAGACACAGCAATATAAACATATGTGTATATTTAATGAGAAAAATCATCACTGATAATGACGAAAATAAATCGTCTTTCTTTGCTCAAGCGTTTCTACATCGTATCAAACTAAGAGAAAATATGTTTCTTTCTTCACACGTGGTCGTTGTTAAGGGTGACGGTAGAATAGTCAATATTTGGCACGTCTTATAACCAAAATCAAATTAATACGTATACAAGAAGGTAACATCGTTGCGTACTTGAGTTGAGGAACGCAAATATCTCATGATGACGATATATGATAAGAATGAGAGCAGCAATCATCATGTGTCAATCTTCAATTGATTAATAATATTTTGAAATATATCGATGCAAAGCAACTATTGATGTGATTTGGTAGTAGTAGACCAAATGAATCAGTTTTTGCAAAAAGAAATATGAATCAACAAATAATACATTGAATTTACCAGAGAGAGGTCCAGAAAATGTCCGATTACATCCACGCACGTCTGAAGGAAATTTTAGTGTTACCGAAATTTGTATTGTATCCCTTCGCTATCATTTGACTAACTCCCACTCTCAGAACCTAAAGTGAAATAATGATATTTCGACGGATGCCAACACCTTGTGGATGTGAATGTGAGAAGATTCCTTCTCGTTTGCGAACATAAATGAAATAAAGTTTATGCATAATAATTTTTTTTTTAATTTTTGATTCATAGTTAAGTTAACAAATTTAGAAGCTTTAAAAGAAAATGATTACATTGTTGAGAAACGATTTTCAAACATTTGATTGATGAAAATGTATATGAAAAATATATTTTTTTAAAACATTTTCATCAAAATAATTATTTTGTTTTAAGAAAAGTTACTGCACTCTTTGTTGAGAACGTGAGTTATCATTTAGGATAAGTTTTGGAATTACATATAATTGCTAGAAAATATAGAGACCGTGAGTTTTTGATAAATAAAAAATTGTGGTAACTTACAGTGAGCGATATTTGATTAATATCAGGAAAAAGTATGATAATTATATTTCCTTTTTTTTTCATTACTTATTAGTCGTTATATGAGATAACATTACATGCATTTACAAAATAAATTTGAAACTAAATAGTCTACACTAAATGAATTTGTTTTTTTTTATTATTGATAAATGTAACACTCAAAGTTCACGAATGAAGGTCATTGATTAGAAAATAGCTAAGCAGAGTTTTCATCGAAATCAAGTGCAGGTTTTACAGAAATTTTATCATAAGTTATTGTGATGATTCAATAGATCATCCTGTGACAAGTTTGTCATAATGATTTTTAGCGACTTCTACACATTGTAGTGACGTAAAAGTGAAAAAAAATCTAAATGCTTTCTTAAAATTGATATGAGTAAGTTTCCATTGATTGAAAAAATAGAATTGGCCATGTCGTGTTCTGATTTTTCAATTAGTTGTGGT